ACAGCAGTGAACTTCAGCACAGGTACAAATACTCTTTTTTCATACTGTACAAAGAATCAAGAAAGATATTGGTTTAAATAAATGAAGTATTGACTTTAATACACTGCTATACATTCCATTAAACAATACTAAATACTAGATCACCTACACATCAGTGAAGTTGAGGGTTTTTTCCATGCAAAGGGTTACATGTTAACAAGCAATATTACTTTGTCAGCTTTCTAATTTAAGGTATTGAAGGCAAAGCTATTAGTGACAACTGCTATTTATCTCTCAATATTGTCTGTAAAAAACGTGGTAAAAGTTATGATTTCAGTGAGACAACAGAGCAAGCTTCTACAGTTGCACTAAGTTTTGATAACAGTTAAATATTATTTTGATAATAAAATATATTTCAATGTTGATGAATGTCATACTGTTCATTCATAATCTGATTGTCTTTGTAGCTCACTGTTGAAATAAAATAAAACATTACAATTACAAAATAATTATATCTACAGCCCCTAAACACAAGCACACCTCTTTCATAAATAACACACTTGTTCTGCAATAATATGTTTTATGTTTCCTGTAATTTTTGTTAGGAAAGGACATGCCTGAAAGACACGACTCAACATTTTCTCCTTCTCTGAGGGTCAAGAAGAACATCCAAGAGGAAAATTAAAAGCTGATGTTATGAGATTTTAAGACCAGTACAGGACATTCACTAAGAAACTACTTTTATTGTGAAAGCTGATCGAATGCACCTATTTCCACATCTACACTCCATCAGCTGATTCATTCTATTTGCCTCACTTCATGAGCTTCACAACATGTACCTTGTACCGCAGAGTTTGCAACGTCACAAATAAATGGGGCCAATCTTCAGTCAGATGTGAATGTGTAATCTAACATTTTCAGTAAGAATAATGGACAAAAGGAGTGCAAATACAAATTCAATTTATTGAAATCTGAACCAAAAGTTAATCAAACATGTTTTAAATAAAAAAGCACATATGGACAGAAGGTGTAAACCTATTAAATGTATAAGTAAACACATTTAGTCAAATAAAGTGACAGACAAGGCCTGTGCAGGTGGTATCAGCTATGCCCAGCATGGGCTCCTCCATCAGGCCTGGTCCTCCTCGCAGAGGAAAGACCCTCAGTCCTCTCCAAACCAACAGACTGGACGTCCATCACACGGAGGTTTCTCCCTGAAGTCTGCAGCTCTCTGGACACCACGCTGTCTCAATCCGTCCACACTGAATATGAGTGGGGGAAAATGAAAATAATAAATGCTTTAGACAATAAGAAATATAAAGTTGACTGTTGAGTTGCTCAGTTTTTTTAGATTGTCAATACTATTACTGTATAACTAATATCCCAGGTTAAGAGGCACCTTCAAATAAAGATTGGTCTTTAAATACATTTTGTCTTTTGAATTGTTTGTCTAAAGTCAAGGATCTAGAACTGGTACTTATAGTTTTAATGATACAGTCTGGTTATAATGCTGTTTGGAGGAGGCCTCACAGGTAAGAGCACTAACTAGCTACCATCAAATGTACCTTAGCTTAACTTAAATGTATTAAACGTATAATTAAGTGATAGCAAAATATAAATAACTAATGTCATGCAAACATATTAATATTTGCTTGATTCCAGTGTTGCATTTAGCACATTGCATACAAACGTTAAGGGATTTTAAGATTCTGAAGTATTATGCTAAAAACTCAATAACTTAGATTATTATTTATAGTTTTGCTGAATAGTTTCATGTCCGCTTACCTTAGAAACGTAAAATGTGACGGCAGTGTGCAGATGGGGAAGCATGTTAGCTTAGCTTCTTAGCTTGAGCTAGCTCTGTTACTTCCCAGCTGGAGGCAGAAGGTCCCGCCTCGGCTCCGCCTCTTTGCCCTTATTTGGAGCAGGCTGGAGCAGGCGGGAGTTAGACTCAGACGTCACTGTCGAGCCGTTAGTGGCCGACTCCGCCTACTAAGGGCTTCTCGGCAACTCTGCAGAATCCTATGGGTGACGTCACGGACCCTACGTCCATTTATATATACAGTCTATGGGTGCAACATAGTTGACAATGAAAGTCAAACATTTGACGCAAATAACATAGTTGACTGGACATATTATTAACCATCAGCACTATGTTCATTTCAAGGCAGAAGTGCAAAATTCCATTGATAATGATGTGTAATGACATCTACATGTCATACAAATTGTTAACTAGGTTACCTGTCAACTAAGTTACTACAGTTATTACAGTACTGGGTAACTTAGTTGACAGGTAACCTAGTTGACAATTTCCCTATTTTGACCCATCATTTCAATGGTAGGCCTTGTCTGGATGACCACATGTCATTTTCTTGAACAGGTTAACATCACATTTGAACATATAATTGAATTAAAATCATTAAACAATTGTAAACCATAACAATGTACGTAACATTGTTGATGGTCAATTAATATACTCATTGACAATGTGCTATTATACATCAAATATTGTAAAAAATTAGAGGACAATCACCACAGTGTGTTCAAAATGTCTGCCAAAGAGGAACATGGCATCATGTGATGCTGGTGACATGGTATTGGGACAAACCATTTTTGAGTTAAAGGGGGGAGTTCTGTTAGTAACATAGTTGACAGAACTTTTACGGACATTCATATATTAAGATATTTAAATTATTTAAAGGAGGAAATCAATGAAAAATATGTTATTATTCTTTAGTATTTAGACTTTTGAAATAAATGAATAATTTTTTTTATTTACTTTAATGGTTTTTATTCATTATTTTGAAACCAAGACACCCTCAACTGAAAAACGGACATAGCAAAAACTGACAATTTAAGAACATCATGACACATTTCAAGCTAAATAAAGCATAGGATGCACATAATGTTTGTGTGATATTATAACATGCTTTCCAATAATAGGCAAAATATGATATTTTTGAAGAAAATAGTTAGAATAATTATAATTATCATCAATGGACATCAATGGACATGGAATGTACCCTAAATTGTAGAATCACTAAATATGTCATTTTCCATCCTCCATGGAGAGCACCTCATAGTAAGCACATCGTTTACTCTCCATTCATTACCTAAATATACACTATATTAACCTATATTCCACCATAAGGCAATCTATTTTAACCCTTTGATGGCCTTCTCCCTGAGTTTCAGTCTGCTTACGAGACAAACTTGCCCATTTCCACCTGGATGATGGCGTTTTTAAGCTGGACCTCCAGCAGCAGGGCGTCAGCCGGACCTCCCTCGCTGGCCTTGTTGACGTTTGGGGAGAATATCCGAGGCATCCCCATGTAGCTACCCACCACCACTGTGTCTATTAAGGCAGTGGTTCCCAACCTTTTTTGTCTGAGCCGCGGTGCTGCACCTCCTGATCGGAGCAGAGACACACGTTCACTAAGCGGAATAACAATATTCTGTCACAGAGATCTGCTATTTTAGAGTAAAGTCAACACATATCGACCCTAAATAAAGTCTATATTAAGAACGAAAAATGTTTTAACATATGGCTTAAACCAGGGATGGGCAACTTGGATGGTGGTGGGGGCCACATAATTTATGAACTGGCCACCAGGGGGCCGCAGATTCACTTGGAACACAGACACACACAAATTACATGTATTGTATGTAATTATTAACAAATATACTAAGTCTGACATCTTCATTGACATTTTACAATCTTTCAGGGAACATCCTGTAATAAGCTCACTAAACAAATATCAGTTCACAGAAATGTTATTTAATTTTTACAAGTGGCATGTTTGTATTGAACAGGCTATTTAACAGTGGAATAAAACTATTTTAAACTATTGGAAAGCACGGAAAATGTGTGTGCATCGAGATTAAACATTAAGATGAGATAAACATGAAGTCATGAACACTAACCCAAACATGAACCTAAGACACTTGTAGCCTGTCTCTGCTGACGCACAATAACACAGACACCTGTCAACCCGCACTCTGCTGTTCCTCAGGGCCGCTCCCCCTCCCTCCCGCTGAAATTATGAATGAAAAGTGTATAGTAATCATAGATCACACGGCAGGGTCCGTGACAGTTTGTTTTCATCTGATTTCAAATAAACAAAGTCTTGGTTTTTAGAATATTAAACTTGTTTCGCCAAATTCATATGATAAATACAACTTTGAAGCTTGTAAAGGCATAATTGCAAGCGGCAACTTAACGTCACAGCAGGCATAACAACAGCCGGTGTTTCTTGTGAGTGTTTCCCCGGGAAACAAACACAATACACACAAACGCGTCACAGATTATATCGTGGTTTTGGCTGCCGAACGAAATCATGTACGCAGCTCGCGACGTAACTAGGAGTCTAGTGGACGGTATCAGTACTACAAGTAAAACAAATATTCTTTTTAAATTTTTTTTTATTAATTACGTTGTTTATAAATTAATCTGAGGGCCGCAAAAAGAGGAAGTGGGGGCCGCATGCGGCACCCGGGCCGCCATTTGCCCATCCCTGGCTTAAACAAATGACAAATGAGCGAGGGTGATGATGTCAGAGCATCGTCCTTTGTGCCGGGGCTGAGCCCCGGACAGCCCCGGCCCAATTTAACCCCTGGACGCACCTCTGAGAGTCCCGCCCACCTGGGATGTTTGTGCCAGAATCGCAAAACAAAAAATGAAGGAGCGCAAACGAGAAGAGTTGCAGCGAGAGCAAAAGTCTGATCATCGAGAAAGAAGCAAAGAGAACTGCAAACAAAAAGATATGTTAAAACAAAGAAAAAATACTTATAGTTTACATTATTACACACTTTATTTGTTTGGAACTTATAGTTTCACTTTTGAAATTACATTTATTTTGCTTAGCTCAGTTTTTTTTTTCTCTTAAACTCTTAGTTTTGCTTGATTCAGAGAAAGTGTTGCTTTATCTTAATGGCACAAAACTGATTCCATACCAACAGGTAGAGGTGGTAGAACACACCTTGAAAGATAAAGGTACCTTGAACCTTGAACCTTGAAAACAGACGGACTGCCAGACTCCATTTTAAACTTCAACAGCGCAGCAGAAAGAAAACAGGGTGAGTGTTAAAACCAGGCTCTGCTGTTTTTGTCTAAACAATTCATGTTTACTCTGTTTTACTTTATCTCAGAAAAACACAGTCTCGATAAAAAGCAGCATCTTAGAGTCCGATGTGGCATATTGAAATGTTGTAGGCCTAAACTTCCCCCTTCAGTCCTTGTTAGAACTGCGCCATCGTGGTTACATAACTATACAGACGTATTTGTTGTTGTCTACACTAGTGGTGTTAGTTGATTTAAAACAAAACTGTGATTAATCTTCACAAATCAGAAGTTTAAAATATTAGTAGGCCTATTAACTTGTATTTTGGAGAGATATAAACCAAACAAAACGTGTGTTGTAGTCTAATAAAGCGGTCCATGAAAAACTGCTGAGAGAAATAAGAGGGGTTTTCACTTTATTATAACATCTCAGCTAAGTTATGATGATTTCCGAATTACTGGCATGACGTCTGAGCATATTGGAGCACTATCTGCTCCTAAAGTAGTGACCTGTCCATTTCCTGGATTCAGCATAATGCCACCCCTCCGTTTCACCAGACCTAAAGAACGAGTGCACAACATTTGTCATGGATTAAATGTGCTTTTACACCGAGGTAGTTACAGCTCTTACTGATTTCTGGAGGTGGAAGAAGTACTCAGATCTTGTACTTGAGTAAAAGTAGAAGTATCTTTTAGAACTACCAGAGTGTAGGAATACTCTGTTACTTACAAGTAAAAGTCCTGCATACAAAATGTTACTAAAAGTAGAAAGTATTAGCGTCAAAATATACTTCAAGTACCAAAAGTAAAAGTAGTCATTGTGCAGATTGGTCCATTTCAGAATAATATATATGATATGTTTATAATTATTGATCATTAAAGTGTTCTCAAAGCTGGTAAAGGTGCAGCTAGTTTTAATGGCTTTGTATACTGCAGGATTTACTCCAGGTGGAACTAAAGTCTGATTTAAGAGCTGATTATATTTCACATCATTCATCCAGATCTGTAAAGTAACTAAAGGTATTAAACACATGTAGTGGAGTTAAAGTACACCATTTACCTCTGAACTGTAGGAGTAGAAGTACAAAGTAGCGGGACATTGAAATAAAGTACTGGTCCCTAAAAATTGTACTTAAAGGTGGGGTAGGTAAGTTTGAGAAACCGGCTCGAGATCGCTAGAATTTGAAAATACACAACCGGAGAAAATCTGCCACTTCCTTACAGAGCCCCTCCTCCCAACACACACGAACGCGCACATGACCAATGAGGGCACGAGATAAGTTTGTGCACAGATGGAAGGCTGACAGGCAGGTAGGCCATCCAGTTATTTTAGCCGGGCCGGCTAAAATGATTGGTCGTGCTTTTTACAGTATTACGGCTTCCACAGATGACATTTTTTTATGGATTTTTTGTCAAAGCACTTAAGATATTCATTGCTATCGGGATGTTAAGAGCATTCCATGGAATATAACAACAAGTGTATCTCGAGCCGGTTTCTCAAACTTACCTACCCTACCTTTAAGTACATTACTTGATTAAATGTACATGTAGCTTGTGCCAGTTCCTCGCTTTCCTTGACTTTCATTCCCATGCAATTCATGTTAAAATTCCCGCTGGAATTACGAAGGAAGTTTGGGTGAAACTTGGTAATAGGATACATTTTTTGTAATTTTTCTGACACGTTAAGGTTTGCAGATTATTCGCAACCATTCACGTTTTTTTTGGATAGCACAAATTTAAACCAAAATGTAACATTATGATGGATTTGATTGAAATGCTTGTATTATAAAGTGTGTGTGTTTATGTATTTGTCTCCAGGGTTACTGGTTCATCTCTCACAATGGAGACCATGAGAGATGAGGAGGAGGAGGACAGATCTTCAGTGTCCAGAAAACCTCCAGATTTGAGTAATACACCTGGAACCTCTGACACAAAGTAAGGATCTGTTTCTGCTGTAAACTGACCTGAAGAGGAGTCTGGTTTGATCTGAGTAGCAGATCACAGTATATAAACACAGTAAAGCATCACTGTGGAGTACAGTCATGAAACAAAGTAAATTAGAGTAAAGAAACCCGGAAGAGGAAAGTAAAGAGCTGTAACTGAGCTCTGGCTGTGCTCCTTGGCATCATCAGCAACAGTCAATAATCTACTATTGTGAAATCATTCTCACATTCCAGATGTAGGACTTTATGTTAGGTTAAGTAAATCAACTTCGAACATGTCAAACTTTTCCCTCTCACAAATGAAATCTAACAACCAAAACCCTGAAACACGACTTAAAAATTGAAAGTTCAGAGCAAGTCCAAAAATCTTTAATAATGTAAACGGGCTGAAATCAAAAGCTGCCCTTTACAAAAAATAGTGATGTGTGTTACACATTTTGTTGTTTCCACAGACAGAGAGCAGAGTCTCCAGTCCCCAGCTGTGTTTCTATGAAGAGTGACTGGTCCAGAAGAGAACCTCCATACTTCAGTAATGAACCTGGACCCTCAGACACAAAGTAAGAGTCTGTTTCTACTGTGAACTGACCGGAAGAGGATTCCGTTTTTATGCCATGTGATCATCTAAACTGTTCTCTAAATAATGACATGAGCGTGGTGGCTTACAGAACAGAAACACAGTTTGGTCAATTACAGTAAATTCAAACATGTAAGATTTTTCACCGTTACAAATGAATTGTAATGACAGAAATCTGTGACGGCCGCACATTGATTTAAGGTGTTTATTCTAAACTTTAGTGGCAGGGGAAAAGGTTTAAGGCATGTTGTTTATCATGAAATGAAATGAACTATGATACATGTATATTATCCTCGCAACTGCAGTTGTTAATGTCCACTGTTATGTATGGTTTGAGGGTGTGGGTCTGCAAGTCTCATCTGCATATTCACCTGTCGCGGCACGCCCAGAGGCTTTTTAGTGGGCGCGTCACCGGGAGGCCGGGGAATTGGTTCTCACGGGAGGAGGAAGTGTGTGTGTGGCAAATGCGGGTATTCAGCGGGATATTTAAAGTGGACCTATCATGCTATATTTAAATGAAATATTGTAGGGCCATACCTATATAAGGTATATTTATACGTTTCTGTTTTCAAAATACCAAACAGATCATGCATTTTAGCCATGCCTCATTTCGCTCTATGTGCTGTTTGCTGTCTACTGGGCTGATTCTATGAGCTGCAGCTGACCACGCCCCCCTGCAGGAGAGGGGAGCCGTGCTCTGATCAAGTCAAGAGGGGGAGAAAAAAAGATCTCCGTCCTCCGTGTTTTATTATATTGTTATAGGCCTATAGAGTCGTTATTCATTTGTTTTAAAGCTCAATAAATAACAAAGAAGACCTTTGACCGGCACTTTTCTAATTTTGTCCGGAAGATTTAAACTTTAACGGACATCTTGACCGGCGAAAGAAACTGAAACTCTGCCGCACGGTCCCCTCGTTCCTTGGAAGAGGCGGAGAGGTGGGTGTTTGTCATCTGCTGGTGGACTAACCGGAGAGAATTACAGTGCTTGCCTCGACGGGGAGGGATTGCATTGAATTAAAGCAGCGGGAGCAAACGCTTGCCTCGGGGAGGGAGAAAAAAAGCCACAGTGGAGAATAAACAAGGGTAACCATGGTAACTATGGGCGGGAAGTCTTCTTCGCTGCTTTTGTGGCAGACTACAGCACCACTTACAGGCCTGGCATATGTACTACAGCGTCTCCAGCACTTTCGAGTGGCAATGGCCGGCCGTGGCCCAACCCCACATTCCCCTCATAGGTGGAGAGTTGGCCCAATAGCCGTAGCGCCACTTCTGTGACGTCATTGAAGTGTTCAAATCTGGATCAGTTTTGATCAGATCCGTTGCAGCCCCTTTTTTAGAGATTTGGGTATGGAGGAAAATAGAGAGGGTTGTGTTTTCTGACACTTGGTGAGTTCCCTGGAACACCGGGGACACAGATTCATGTATAAAAGACGTACAAAAGTGCATTTTGCATGATTGGTCCCCTTTTAAGTTTCCTCAGCATGTTAAAATGCAACGGGGAAGTAACTGAAAGTAACTGAACGTGGATATTGCATCGACCGACCTGGAAGCGCGTCTCCGTGGAGAGGAGGCGCACGGATAGAGAGAGAGATTCTCTCCAACACAGGGTGAGATCGCTCCTTTGTGCCACGCCGATCATCGTGTTTTCCTTTTTTCGTGGATTATAGCCTAAATAGGCCTACAAACATTCCCGCAGGAGCAACAGCCTTTTTTTCAATGAACTATAGTGGCCTGGATTAGGCAGTAATGACAATTTCGGTTTATCGCCGAGCGGACTTTGTTGTTGAGTTTTGTTTTTGTTTTGCTTGGCTGGAAAACTGTCAATATAATTGAATAACGTATAAACCCGTCTTTGTTTATTTTGTGAATGTGTGGATGGAGACAGTAGTAGATATACACTTCCGTGGGTACTATTTTGTGGAAAGAGTAGATTGTCCGTTTATCAGTTCTGTTTTGCCTTTACAATATTATTTCATATCAAGAACCCCTTGTGCGTTTATTTAACACAGCTATTTTTGATAGTTGATCGTTACAAACCCTCAAGCATGACTCGAAAACAGAAAGTTGCGAGCAAGTCCAAAAACCTTTAATCGGGTAAACGGACTGAAATCAAACGCTGTTTTTTATTACAAGAACTAATGATGTGTGGAAAACATTTCTTGCTTCCACAGACAGAGAGCAGAGTCTCCAGTCCCCAGCTGTGTTTCTATGAAGAGTGACCGGTCTAAAGATGAACCTATATACTTCAGCAAAGATCCTGGACCCTCAGACACAAAGTAAGAGTCTGTTTCTACTGTAAACTGACCGGAAGAGGATTCCGTTTTTATGCCATGTGATCATCTAAACTGTTCTCTAAATAATGACATGAGCGTGGTGGCTTACAGAACAGAAACACAGTTTGGTCAATTACAGTAAATTCAAACATGTAAGATTTTTCACCGTTACAAATGAATTGTAATGACAGAAATCTGTGACGGCCGCACATTGATTTAAAGGGCCCATGTCATGGCCATTTCCACTGATCATAATTACATTGTTGAGGTATACTAAAATAGATTTATACTGTGCAATTTTCCAAACTCACATTGGTTTCGCATACAGCATCTCTGTCAAGCATGTGTATTCAGCAGTATTCACTTTCTCCACTAAACGACTCGTTGGAGCTCTTGCCCCCCCCTCCCTGTGAGCCTAGTGTGCTCCGATTGGTCAGCTCGGCCACTCGTTCTGATTAGTCAACCACCAGAGAGGCTGCGCCCATGTCTAACAGTGCTTTTCCCGGCTGCTCTCAGCGTAACATCAGTCTTATCATGGCGTCGGTACAGCGGTATATTTTATATACATATATATTTGTAACTGTTGTTATAGAAGAGTGTGACGGCCCCAGGGCCTTTGTCTTACGATGGGGTGGAGCTGAAGAGGCTAATCAGCACGATCACGGACACCTCCGGACACTACGGCCCCAGTCTCTCTCCAAAGCGGCTGCAGGAAGACTAACTCTGCGATCCTCTCAACCACCTATCTTTGCATTTACCACAATAAATGTGCCGTGGTTTTGTAAACTCGTGTATGTCTCCTTGTCTTTCCGTTGTGGCCTACGAGCTACTCTCATAACAAAGAGTAAGTTATTTTTACCCGTTATAAACTACTACTGTTTGATGAGAAATCAAATCATGGTTTGCTATATATGAATTCAGTGAAGAAAGGATAGGCCTACTAAGTATTTCCATTAAACTTTATTTTTAGAAATGTACAAAATGAACATAAATATACATATATACACGGTATATCATCCATTCCTCCTCCTCTTGCCTGCGCACAGCCGGTGCGGTGCGGTGCCTTTTAGCACGAGGCCTCAGTAGTAGTAGAATCCCTTCCCCGTCATGGATTGTCCGCCAGGATCTGGCTGGACGAAATCAAATGCAAATCACAAAATATTAGAGAAACTTAGTTGTTTTAGATTCGTTAGTAGTAGTTGTGTAATGAACAGCTTGCCTGCTAATATGCTAACCTAGCTTTGTTTACCTTGGTAGCTAACACGATATGAACGTTAGCTTGGAGGAAAGGCAACTATAATGCAGTGTAATAAAACTACTATGAACAAAAGCTAGTGGTTCATATTAGGCTAGCAATAACGTGTTTATAATTGCAATCGTATACGGGTATTCTGCTACCATACAATGTAACTTGCATGAATACATTGTTTTGCGCTAGCATACAGCTAGCCTCGTTAGCTACATGCAGTATATGTACGGTCACAATGTACGGTAAACCGGAGTATACTGTATGAGTATTCCGTGTGTGTGACTGCAGACATTCTCCTGCCATGACAAACATGTAAGGCCATCTGCTGACATTGTAGTTGATATATTTAAACGCTAGCAACGTAGCATCACAAAAATGTTTTTCTGACCAAAACTAGCTCTAGCTCCGTGTGTTAGATCGCTACGCCAGCTATAATGTAATTACGTTTCGCGACTGACCGGCAAATCACCCGCAGTATACTGTCAATAGGTATTTTGTGTGTGAATGCAGACATTCTCCTGCTATGAGATACATGTATGCAAGGCCATCTGCTGATATTAGAGTTGATATATGGAAACTCTAGCAACTTATGCCCCTTTCACACCAACGCAACTCCGGTTCAAGCTCCGTGCTAGAGCTTTTCTGGTTCAGAACCGGTTCTTCGGTTTAGCGCCGGCTCTTTTCACACCGCTCAGAGCCCGACTGGTGCTGCCGCTGCTGCGTCATGACGTCACAGTTTACGTCGCTGAGTTTCTCCCCAACGCCGGAGCTCACTTCACAACAACAACGGGCCGGGGACTGCGTTGCTTTTAATCATACGAAGCCAGATTAAATTAAATAACGACTTCTCCAACCTTATACTTTTCTCCAGAGTGCCGTGGTTCATTGTTTATTAATGTGTTTCAGCGGCATTTACCGACCGCTGCAGTGCTGGCCGGCTGCTCTTCAACGGGAGTGTATTCTCCCGTTAGCTCCGGGTTAGCTCACACGGCTCTAAAGTATTCACTGTCTGACTGTCACACAAGCAGCTGATACATATCCCCAGTTCCCCTTAAGTGAATGTGTGTCAGTCTGAATTGACGCTGTTTGGTGTCAGTCTGAATTGACGCTGTTTGGCATCACAACGCTGTTATGAAAGTTTCTCTGGTATAACATGGGTGATGTTAGCATAGCAACCGAAGCTAAACTGACTACTTGCTAAGCAGTTTTCTACAGGCACTTTTTACCGACGTATTTTTCATTATGATTCTACTTGTGATAGTCGGACATGACAACCTGTGCAGCCCATGTATTGATTCCATCCGATAGCTGCTATAATAACAAACAAAACGTCTGCCTGCTCTCCACAATGATCAATAACAGCGAACGGATGGTCAAAGTAAGGTACAAATAAACAGAATCACACGAAGCCTGGTTAGTGTTGCCTGACTTTATAAAGTGTGTTTTTTTTAACAAGTGTGTGGTTGCGTTCTAGTCACTTTGCTCAGCACTACTGCTTGTTACAACTTTTATTTGCCGTACTCGCCTTAAGTGTTAGCTCAGGTTAATCTCGCCCCCCTCCGACGTAAGCGTGACGTATGCGGTTCTTGCTTCTAGACGGACAACTTTTTGGTGCTCGAAACGAACCGGATTCCGGAGCTATGACGCTGCTCCGCTGCGGTGTGAACAGGAAAACCCGGTGCTTTTCAAGCACCAGCACCGAACCGGCCCTGAAACACCGTTGGTGTGAAAGGGGTATTAGTTAGCACAGTTAGCACTGTGTCAATGGCTTAGCAGTCCAACACAGTTTACACATTTAAACAGTCTTGTTTGATAAATACACAAATAACAATGCAAACTTACAGGTTGTATACCCAGATCTTCCCCTGCTCCAAACGGTCCAAACAAGCTGTGCATATCCGGCCTCAAACTGGGCAATGTTTTGGAAGCTTTCGTCTGTGAAATGCCGGTTCTTCGAACCTCTGGAGGAGGAACACGCCGCTGCTGGTGTGGCCATAGCTCTTCGGGATTGGTCCATTTCGTTCCGGGTACCGCATGACATCAGGCGGTACCCGGAACTAAATGGAAGACTCAAATGGGCAGTGACGTATCTCCAACGAGGCGTTTTGGGGAGGTATTTTCTGTGTTAGAGTTTTACTCGCTACAGGGTGTACTTTGAGGGTTTTGACTCTGCACACCGTTTACATGCATAAAAACCTTCATAACACACAAGGGGACGGGTAATAACCGGAAAAGCATGACATGGGAGCTTTAAGGTGTTTCTTCTAAACTGTAGTGGCAGGGGAAAAGGTTTAAGGCATGTTGTTTATCATGAAATGAAATTAACTATGATGTGTGTACGGGTGCTGGAAATCCTTGAAAATGCTTGAAATTGTACGAGGTGTTTTCAAGGTTTGAAAAGTGCTTGAATTTTGGGAATGGTGCTTGAATTTGTTTTGGGCACCCGTACACACCCTGATCATAGTTAATTTCATTTCATGATAAACAACATGCCTTAAACCTTTTCCCCTGCCACTAAAGTTTAGAAGAAACACCTTAAATCAATGTGCGGCCGTCACAGATTTCTGTCAAGTTTTATTTACAAGTATTAAAAGTAAGCAGAGGACACCAAACCAACTGAGACCTGTCTGTCCGCTGCATCTACCACACACTGTACCACACACACCTACACCACACACACGCACCTACAGCTCCTAAAGTAGTGATGTGTCGGTCGCGAACGAGCCGATTCTTTTGAACGGCTCTTTGGTACGAACGAGGGGAACCGAGTCCTACTTGGTGAGAGCCGTTCTTGTTATCGTTCAATCGTTGGTCCGCACTCACTGCCTGCCAAAATCCACTCGCCTTTTAAAAAGCTTGATTTTGTTCCCCAAACGTATTCTGTGAAGACCCGCCCCTACTCTGATTGGTAGGTTTCAGCACGAGGAGTTAGGTGGGGTGGGTTTTAACGGAATACGCGAGAGAGAGAAGTCATAACAAGTGGTACTGGACAGATAGACGACGTGTTTTTCGGATGTAAAATGAGCCAAACGCGAAAACGCAGCAGCATTTGGATGCACTTCAACCAAAACCCAGGCAGTGATAAAGCGCACCATTTGTAAAGGCAAAATATCCTTTAAAGCAGGGTCAACAAATAATCTCCATCGCCACTTAAAAACACACTACTAATATTAAGAGTTGCGTGAATTTCATTCAAGGCAAGGCAACTTTATTTACTTAACACATGCAGAGGGTAAATTCAAAGTACATTCACTGACATGAATGACATGGATATGGCGCCACCTTGTGTCATGTTTACAATGCAGATTATTGACATTAGGTCTGGCAATGCAGTCAATCATTATCCTGGTGATTATTTCGCAGATAAACCTAGTAACCCCGCCCCCTTTTTAAAAAAAACGGCTCTTTTGAACGGCTCTTTTGAACGGCTCTTTGAAAGGAACGGAGCCATAAGATCCGGCTCCCTTCAAAGAGCCATAATTCCCATCACTATCCTAAAGCATATAATCAGGCTACAGCCGTTGTGTATTTTATTATGTGAAGCACTAAATGGTTTTAGAAAAATATCGACTCTTTGTTTGTAGATATCTACTAAACTAAAGCAAATAAAGAGAGTAGGCCTGTTATACTGAGTGATATATATTATACACACTGCTCTGCTTTCTGCACGGACCTCACAGCTGTTCTCACTGTAAACATCACGTCGCGATGAAAGCAGTTAATAAAATAATATCCAGGGGATGCATGCAGAGCTGTGATTGGCTGAGATCAGTCCGGCCGTGCGTCACGACTCTTTGAAACATCTCTGTTCCCGGAAATGCATCCACAAAGGAGCCGTGGAGGACCGTGGAGGACCCATCAGTGTATCCTCGGTTATAGCTCCTCCAGAGAGCCTCCTCGACGCTCGATCCTCGGTCCTTGAAGTGCATTTAGAGAAATGAGATGTCCTTCAACATGGCGCGCTAAAATTCATTTCCGGGTCACAACCGGAGGACCGAGGAGTCGAGGAGTCGAGGAGGGGGATTTGATGAAATGAGAACGGCCCAGGGTGAGATCGCTCCTTTGTGCCACGCCGATCATCGTGTTTTCCTTTTGTTGTGGATTAAAGCCTAAATAGGCTTACAAACATTCCCGTTTTTTGCTGCAGGAGCAACAGCCTTTTTTTCAATGAACTATAGTGGCCTGGACAGGGTTCTTACACCTTTTCCAAAGTCAAATTCAAGCACTTTTCAAGCATTTTCAAGGTGCATTTTCAAGCTTTTCAAGCATCTTACAGCTGTTGTAAATTACATATTTATATACACATACTTATCCTCAAATGATTATTTCCCTACCTCACATTAAATCAGATGTTCTTTATGCTATAAACAACCAAATGTGTGTTTCATAATAGCATTCTACATGAGGGTGAACAATTTAAAATGTTAGAAAAGAAAACTAAGTTTAATATTTCAAAATGAGTGACCCATCTGTACGTAGACTGGGCATCCCATATAACCTGGCTGAGCCAATATAAAACAATCAGCCAAATAACTTTTCAATACATTATTGATTACTATTTTTGAGGTACTTTTAGGTTGGCAGTAAACATAAGTCAGAGGTAAATGGTGTACTTTTACTGCACTACATGTATTTAGTACCTTTAGTTACTTTACAGATGTGGATGAATGATGTGAAATATAATCAAGTGTTAAATCAGACTTTAGTTCCACCTGGAGTAAATTCACAGGCTACTCTGCAGTATACAAAGTCATTCAAACTAGCTGCACCTTTACCAGCTTTGATGACACTTTCATGATCAATCATTATAAAACATATCATATACAATTATTAGGGATGCTCCGATCGCCAATTTTGGGGCCGATCGCCGGAATCAGTATCGGCCGATCCGATCGAGTGGGCGGGGCCTATGGGGATCTTCCATTTAAAGTGATGTTAAAAAAAACTCAGTTAATGGGGCTCATTCACTGGCGCTTCCACAAACCAACCAACCAACATAATTATTACATTCAAATGAAGTACATTATTCAAGTTTACATTAACTTGGGATAATAACACGGGAGAAATGAGCGGAAGCGCTCTCTTTTCCTCTCTCTCCTGACAGCCTGTCAGTATCTCCTGCAGCTCACTGATCCAGTAATGAGTGACCCGACAGTGAAGAATAAATATATTTATAACTAGTTTAGCTTGCTCCAGAGGTAGATCAAATAGCTAAGTGTGTTAGGTCTAACTCTTAGTGTGTGTTCTGCTCCGCTCACCGGTCCGTCACAGCGGGTGGAGCTGCAGGATTTCTGCTTCACACGCGTTGCATACCGCTATTTTATTGTCATTTTCGGACACTTAAAATACTGCCAGACTAGTGAAGCCATTTTGGCGAGCTTGTTTTGCCGCGCACAGAGAAAAGTGTCATGTATTTTACATGCAACGATAGCCTAATCTAAAATGCTCTACTATGGCGTACCTTTCGTGTGGTGTGTGGCTCGTCAGCGCAGACTCTCGCATCGTTATTGTTGCACACTTTGCAGGAGGCTACTCGTGGGCTTGACCCTCGTCTTAGCCATGGCTTGTATTTGTCTTCTGCTAGCCAACGCTCGTTGAAACGGCAACCTCCTGGCATACTGTCATCTATCACTCTCATCAGAATGCCCAGGTCACACACGTAACAAAAACACTTGCCGGTCACGCGCATTGTGCGGGAAGGCCGGAGCGGAGCTGTTTTATGTAAAAGCGAAGCAATTAAGCGCGCTCCGACTTCTTTATTTTCTTTTAATCTAAAAAGCGAAGTAAAGCATTTACAATTTCAAGCACTTTATCCCAAATTCAAGCACCATTCCCAAAATTCAAGCACTTTTCAAACCTTGAAAACACCTCGTACAATTTCAAGCATTTTCAAGGATTTCCAGCACCCGTACGCACCCTGCCTGGATTAGGCAGTAATGACAATTTCGGTTTATCGCCGAGCGGACTTTGTTGTTGAGTTTTGTTTGTGTTTTGCTTGGCTGGAAAACTGTCAATATAATTGAGTAACGTATAAAACCCGTCTTTTGTTTATTTTGTGAATGTGTGGATGTAGACAGTAGTAAATACACTTCCGTGGGGACTATTTTGTGGAAAGAGTAGATTGTCCGTTTATCAGTTCTGTTTTGCCTTTATAATATTATTTCATATCAAGAACCCCTTGTGCGTTTATTTAACACAGCTATTTTTGATAGTTGATCGTTACAAACCCTCAAGCATGACTCGAAAACAGAAAGTTGGGAGCAAGTCCAAAAAACTATAATCGGGTAAACGGGCTGAAATCAAACGCTGTTTTTTATTACATGAACTAATGATGTGTGGAAAACATTTCTTGTTTCCACAGACAGAGAGCAGAGTCTCCAGTCCCCAGCTGTCTGTCTATGAAGAGTGACCGGTCCAGAAGAGAACCTTTATACTTCAGTAATGAACCTGGACCCTCAGACACAAAGTAAGAGTCTGTTTCTACTGTAAACTGACTTGACCAACATATATATATATCTCTATATATATATATATATATTATATATATATATAGAGATATATATATATATATATCTATATAGCTCTAGGATATTATATATTATATATATACATGTATATATATATATATATATAGAGTAAAAATATCTCTCCTCTCTCTCTCTCTCCTATCTCCTCTCTCCTCTTATCTCTCTCTCTCTCTTCTCTCTCTCTCTCTCTCTCCTCTCTTCTCTCCTCTCTCTCTCTCTATTCTCTTCCTATCTCCTATCTCTCTATCTCTCTCTCCTCCCTCTCTCTCTTATCTCTCTCTACTCGCGCTCTCTCTCTTCTCTCTCGCCTCTCTCTCATCTCTCTCTCTCCGTCTCTTCTCTCCTCTATCGCTCTCTCTCATAGAGATATATATATATATATATATACTGTATATATCTATATGCCATCTGATCATTTTAAACTCTTCTTTAATAATTACATGAGTGCAGTAGCCCACAGTATGGAAACTCAATAGAGCTCAGTATAGAAACGCAGACGTACTTGAATCGGATAAGGAAAATATCGGCACCTAGAGTTCTACATTACTTCATATTGAACTGAAGTTATACATGTATGTGTATCAACCATTGATGTTAGTTTGACTGTTAATGGAGCAGCCACAATGTTAGCTAAGTCTAACTCCACTCAATCTAATCCCAATTCATTAACTAGCATTTTTAAAGTGATTTGCTTTCCATGTTGTGGACAGACCTGACAAAGTGTTAACTGCTTTTACAAATTGGAATCATTATGTAGTTATGACATAAACCAGTTTAATTTAGCCGTAGTAAAACTTGTGAGGTACAGTGATCATGCTGTAGGCGGATGACGTTACAGACAGAAGGGCGTTTTGTTTCATATTTATATGAATAACTAAATATCTACAACTTGGGAACAGTTATCAGGATGAAATATCATCTACAGATAAAGAACTTAAACAATCAGTCACCGTAATGTGCTATAAAGGATGTGTTCATCTCCACAGAGGGAAGAAGAAAAGTCATGTTCCTGTGGAGGAGCATCTGTCCAGCTGTGCTCTGTGTCAGGACGTCCTGAAGGATCCAGTCTCTACCAGCTGTGGACACTGGTTCTGCAGACAGTGCATCACCTCATACTGGGAGCAGCGCCCTCCATCAGTAGACTCCTCATGTCCCCAGTGTGGAGAAAGATCCAGAACCAGAGCTGGACTGCAGACAGCCAGTCAGACCAGAACAGTACAAAGTAAGTCTTAACCTCTGTCTCCTGGTGTCTTCATGCCTGAAAACAAGAATCTTCCTGTTGTGTTGTACATAATATAAGTTCATTTAAAAAAAATTATTATCCTTACGTTTGCTTCTCTTTCAGCAGAACGTGGTCTGCAGGAGGTTTTAGATGAACATAGGGTCAGTCTGAGGGGGAGATGTGAACAAGTGACTGAAGGAACTGATAAAAGTGAAACCAGCCTCAACAGGATCTTCACTGAGCTCTATATCACACAAGGACAGAGTGAAGAGGTTAATACCCAACATGAGGTGAGGCAGCTTGAGGCAGCTTACAAGACAAATACCCTCCATTACACTCCAATCAAGTGCCAGGACATCTTTAAAGCCTCACCTGACCAACAGACTCTCATCAGAGCGGTCCTGACCAACGGAGTCGCTGGAGTTGGAAAAACCTTCACAGTGCAGAAGTTCACTCTGGACTGGGCCGAGGGTTTGGAAAACCAAGATGTCAGTCTGGTGATCCCGCTTTCCTTCAGGGAGCTTAACCTGATCAAAGGTGAGCAGTACAGTCTTCTCAGGCTGCTCCATGTTTTCCATCCAACCTTAAAGGAGGTCACAGCAGAGCAGCTGGCTGTCTGTAAAGTGCTGTTCATCTTTGACGGCCTGGATGAAAGCAGACTTTCTCTGGATTTCAAAAACAATGAGGTTGTGTCTGATGTCTCTCAGCAGTCCTCAGTCGACGTGCTGCTGACAAACCTCATCAGGGGGAAGCTGCTTCCCTCGGCTCTCGTCTGGATAACTTCTCGACCTGCAGCGGCCAATCAGATCCCTTCTAAGTGTGTGGACAGGGTAACAGAAGTACGAGGCTTCACTGACGCCCAGAAGGAGGTGTACTTCAGGAGGAGATCGAGTGATGAAAAATGGTCCAGCAGAATCATCTCTCACATCAAGAGCTCCAGGAGCCTCCACATCATGTGTCAGATCCCAGTCTTCTGCTGGATCACTGCTGCAGTTCTGGACCGCATGTTGACTACAGACCGCATGTTCACTACAGACCAGAGAGGAGAGCTGCCCAAGACCCTCACTGACATGTACTCACACTTCCTGCTGGTCCAGACAAAGAGGAAGAAGCAGAAGTATGAAGAGGGACATGAGACGAGTCCACAGCAGCTGACGGAGGCTGACGGGGAGCTTCTTCTGAAGCTGGGGAGGCTGGCGTTTGAACATCTGGAGAAAGGAGACATCATGTTCTACCAAGAAGACCTGGAGCGCTGTGGTCTTGACGTCACCGAGGCCTTAGTGCAGTCAGGAGTTTGTACAGAGATCTTCAAAAGAGAGAGAGTGATCTTCAATAAAACAGTCTACTGCTTTGTTCATCTGAGCATTCAGGAGTTTCTGGCTGCAGTCTACATGCTGCACTGTTACACCAACAGGAACACAGCGGTACTGAAGGACTTCCTGCAGGGAGACTATAACAACATGTTTAGCAGTGATCAGGATTACCCATCCCTGGATGTCTTCCTAATGAGCGCCATGATGAAATCACTCAAAAGTAAAAATGGTCACCTGGACCTGTTTGTCCGCTTCCTCCACGGCCTCTCTCTGGAGTCCAACCAGAGACTCTTAGGAGGCCTGCTGGGTCGCACAGACAAACGTCCAGAAATCATCCAGAGAGCCATCAGCAACCTGAAGGAGATGAGAAGTGATAACATCTCTCCCGACAGGAGCCTCAACATCTTCCACTGTCTGACAGAGATGAACGACCACTCAGTACTTCAGGAGATCACAGAGTTCCTGAAGTCAGAGAACAGATCAGAGAAGAGACTCTTTGTGAAACGCTGGTCAGCTCTGGCCTACAGGCTGGAGATGTCAGAGGAGGTTCTGGATGAGTTGGAGAAGTACAAAACATCACAGGAGAGACGACGGAGACTGATTCCAGCTGAGAGGAACTGCAGGAAGGCTGTGTGAGTCCAGATGTGATTCACTTTATAGATTAGTGTAGATAAGGATTTTAGTTTTTCAAATAAACACTATACAACTTTTTGCTGTTTCACATTCTGTGAGAGCAAAATTGAATTAATACAATTATTCTAATAGTTTCTAAATTGTACAGTTTTTTCTTCTCTTCATTTTCCTTGTCAAAAACATATGAAGGATGTTTTATCACAGCAACATGTGATCACAACATACAGAATAATTGTACATATGTCATTAAATGGAGTAAAGTTATTATGAAATGATTGCAGTTTCTTTATCGTTAAATTAGACACTGAGTAATATCTGATTTATGTTGACTCTAGTCTAGAAAGTAGAAAAGAGGTGACAGACATGGGATCAGATCACACTCAACCATCCAGTGGTAATCAGATCATGATATTCAAAATGTTTTTCCTCAAATGCATGAAGTAAATATATTGTTTCCCCTTTTTTTTATATTAACAAATTCTGTAATATGTGTTATAACAGAATTCCTGACAGTGGATTCTTAGACTGGGAAGTCGTGGCCTCAGCTCTGAAGTCAGACCCCTCCGATCTGAGAGAGCTGGAGCTGGAAGAACATCTGCTGGATTCAGTGGTGGAGCAGCTGAGTTCTGGACTAAAGAGTCCAAACTGTAGACTGAAGACTCTGAGGTCAGATCACTGGCTGCAGTTCATGTGGTTTTGTACAGTATTTATAATTGATATATTTATAATTCCATAATTTGCCTGAGTACAAAGATATTTTAATAAGTTCACATTTCTTTCTAAATTGCTGAATATTTTACAAGAATAACAGAAAGCAGAGAAAGTAGATGTGTGACGGACAGTGTTTGAGCTTCCACAGACTCTCACTGTGCTCCATGACTCAGTGAAGATGCTGTCAGTACTGATGAGCTGTGAGGGAGATGAAGGAGGTTGTTCTGATGCATTATTACAGATACTTTTATATATTACATTTATAAAAGTATCTACATCATTTTGGACATTGGCCTCTGAACCCTCTCCAGGTCTGAAAAGATGATGAAACGTTGAACTACCTCAAGCAGGACCATTGTTCTCTGAACTTACATTGTGTGTTATTTATTCAGACTCTGGTGCTGCTTCTTTGTAAACTCTGTGATCTTGAGTTGAATCAGTTTCTGAGGGTTTGTATTTGTCTGGCTGCACATCACGAGTTAGTGTAGAAGGAGCAGAGTTTCAGATGTGAAGTCACCACTTTTTATTGAAGGTGAAGCACGTTGTCTTTAATATTAATGAGAGCTATGTTCTCTTTCTGTAACTTACTGTTTTTAACCTGTCTGGAGAGTCCACTTTATAAACTTCTACATTCTCCAGCTATAATTAGATTATTAGAACTTTAATTATTTCAATAAGGAACATTGTTTTCTAAACTTGCATCATGTGTTCTTTATTCAGACTGGAGAGCTGCAGTTTGTCAAAGATCAGCTGGGCTGCTCTGATCTCAGCTCTGAAGTTAAACCATTCCCATCTGAGAGATCTGAACCTGAGACACAACACTCTGAAGGATTCAGAAGGGAAGCTGCTGAGTGATCTTCTGGAGAGTCCAGACTGCAGACTGGAGACTCTCGGGTCAGTTCTCCATCTTTTACTTCTGTGCTGAGATGAATATGTGAGAGTTGTGTTGACTCTGAGCTGCAGACATCAGGCTGATATGATCCTGATCCTCACTGAGCATCTTAATGCTAAAGTCTATTTTCTTCTTCTGTGGTTTAGTTCATTGACCGTGGCAGAGCAATGTTAAAGAAAAATCATACTCTGCATATTTCACTCTGAACCTCTCAAAAACCTAAAGTTCATCTTATATTCTCCATGTTGTTTTTAAATAAATGACATTATAAACGCATGAATACAATATTTAAATATTTCTATTAAAATGATCAAACACTAACAAATATTTTCAGTGTTTGCTGTTTCTAACATTTGTATTAAGCTACATGATGCTCATACTGACTGAATAGTTTAAACTGAAGATGCTGTGATCTATGTCTCCACTATTCCTAAAATAAATATTCTCTATTTATTTTGATCACATTTCTTTAAAATTCTTCCTGACATATTTGTGATCTTTGTAAACTCTGTGATCTTGAGTTGAATCAGTTTCTGTGGGTTTGTATTTGTCTGGCTGCACATCACAAGTTAGTGTAGAAGGAGCAGAGTTTCAGATGTGAAGTCACCACTTTTTATTGAAGGTGAAGCACGTTGTCTTTAATATTAATCAGAGCTATGTTCTCTTTCTGTAACTTACTGTTTTTAACCTGTCGGGAGTGTCCACTTTATAAACTTCTACATTCTCTACTTCTCCAGCTATAATTAGATTATTAGAACTTTAATTATTTCAATAAGGAACAATGTTTTCTAAACTTACATCATGTGTTCTTTATTCAGACTGGAGAATTGCAGTTTGTCAGAGATCGGCTGGGCTGCTCTGATCTCAGCTCTGAAGTTAAACCATTCCCATCTGAGAGATCTGGAGCTGAGTCGCAACGATCTGAAGGATTCAGACGTGAAGCTGCTGAGTGATCTTCTGGAGACTCCAGACTGCAGACTGGAGACTCTCAAGTCAGTTCTCCATCTTTTACTTCTGTGCTGAGATGAATATGTGAGAGTTGTGTTGACTCTGAGCTGCAGACATCAGGCTGATATGATCCTGATCCTCACTGAGCATCTTAATGCTAAAGTCTATTTTCTTCTTCTGTGGTTTAGTTCATTGACCGTGGCAGAGCAATGTTAAAGAAAAATCATACTCTGCATAATTCACTCTGAACCTCTCAAAAACCTGAAGTTCATCTTATATTCTCCATCATGTTGTTTTAAAATAAATGACATTATAAACGCATGAATACAATATTTAAATATTTCTATTAAAACTATCACACACTAACAAATATTTTCAGTGTTTGCTGTTTCTAACATTTGTATTAAGCTACAAGATGCTCATACTGACTGAATAGTTTAAACTGAAGATGCTTTGATCTATGTCTCCACTATTCCTAAAATAAATATTCTCTATTTATTTTGATCACATTTCTTTCAAATTCATCCTGACATATTTGTGATCTTTGTAAACTCTGTGATCTTGAGTTGAATCAGTTTCTGTGGGTTTGTATTTGTCTGGCTGCACATCACGAGTTAGTGTAGAAGGAGCAGAGTTTCAGATGTGAAGTACGTTGTCTTTAATATTAATCAGAGCTATGTTCTCTTTCTGTAACTTACTGTTTTTAACCTGTCGGGAGTCTCCACTTTATAAACTTCTACATTCTCTACTTCTCCAGCTATAATCAGATTATTAGAACTTTCATTATTTCAAAAGGAACATTGTTTACTAAACTTGCATCATGTGTTCTTTATTCAGACTGGGGCTCTGCAGTTTGTCAGAGATCAGCTGTGCTGCTCTGATCTCAGCTTTGAAGTTCAACCATTCCCATCTGAGAGATCTGGACCTGAGTCAGAACGCTCTGAAGGATTCAGGAGTGAAGCTGCTGAGTGATCTTCTGGAGAGTCCAGACTGCAGACTGGAGACTCTCATGTCAGTTCTCCATCTTTTACTTCTGTGCTGAGATGAATATGTGAGAGTTGTGTTGACTCTGAGCTGCAGACATCAGGCTGATATGATCCTGATCCTCACTGAGCATCTTAATGCTAAAGTCTATTTTCTTCTTCTGTGGTTTAGTTCATTGACCGTGGCAGAGCAATGTTAAAGAAAAATCATACTCTGCATAATTCACTCTGAACCTCTCAAAAACCTGAAATTCATCTTATATTCTCCATCATGTTTTTTTTAAATAAATGACATTATAAACACATTAATACAATATTTAAATATTTCTATTAAAACTATCAAACAGTAACAAATATTTTCAGTTGTTGCTGTTTCTAACATTTGTATTAAGCTACAAGATGCTCATACTGACTGAATAGTTTAAACTGAAGATGCTGTGATCTATGTCTCCACTATTCCTAAAATAAATATTCTCTATTTATTTCGATCAGATTTCTTTAAAATTCTTCCTGACATATTTGTGATCTTTGTAAACTCTGTGGTCTTGAGTTGAATCAGTTTCTGAGGGTTTGTATTTGTCTGGCTGCACATCACGAGTTATTGTAGAAGGAGCAGAGGTTCAGATGTGAAGTCACCACTTTTTATTGAAGGTGAAGCACGTTGTCTTTAATATTAATCAGAGCTCTGTTCTCTTTCTGTAACTTACTGTTTTTAACCTGTCAGGAGTGTCCACTTTATAAACTTCTACATTCTCTACTTCTCCAGCTATAATCAGATTATTAGAACTTTAATTATTTCAATAAGGAACATTGTTTTCTAAACTTGCATCATGTGTTCTTTATTCAGACTGCAGTTCTGCAGGTTGTCAGAGATCAGCTGGGCTGCTCTGATCTCAGCTCTGAAGTTAAACCCTTCCCATCTGAGAGATCTGGACCTGAATGGCAACGATCTGAAGGATTCAGGAGGGAAGCTGCTGAGTGATCTTCTGAAGAGTCCAGACTGCAGACTGGAGGCTCTCAGGTCAGTTCTCCATCTTTTACTTCTGTGCTGAGATGAATATGTGAGAGTTGTGTTGACTCTGAGCTGCAGACATCAGGCTGATATGATCCTGATCCTCACTGAGCATCTTAATGCTAAAGTCTATTTTCTTCTTCTGTGGTTTAGTTCATTGACCGTGGCAGAGCAATGTTAAAGAAAAATCATACTCTGCATAATTCACTCTGAACCTCTCAAAAACCTGAAATTCATCTTATATTCTCCATCATGTTGTTTTAAATAAATGACATTATGAACACATGAATACAATAATTAAATATTTCTATTAAAACTATCAAACACTAACAAATATTTTCAGTTTTTGCTGTTTCTAACATTTGTATTAAGCTACAAGATGCTCATACTGACTGAATAGTTTAAACTGAAGATGCTTTGATCTACGTCTCCACTATTCCTAAAATAAATATTCTCTATTTATTTCGATCACATTTCTTTAAAATTCATCCTGACATATTTGTGATCTTTGTAAACTCTGTGATCTTGAGTTTAATCAGTTTCTGTGGGTTTGTATTTGTCTGGCTGCACATCACGAGTTAGTGTAGAAGGAGCAGAGTTTCAGATGTGAAGTCACCACTTTTTATTGAAGGTGAAGCACGTTGTCTTTAATATTAATGAGAGCTATGTTCTCTTTCTGTAACTTACTGTTTTTAACCTGTCGGGAGTGTCCACTTTATAAACTTCTACATTCTCTACTTCTCCAGCTATAATCAGATTATTAGAACTTTAATTATTTCAATAAGGAACATTGTTTTCTAAACTTGCATCATGTGTTCTTTATTCAGACTGGAGCGCTGCAGTTTGTCAGAGATCAGCTGTGCTGCTCTGATCTCAGCTCTGAAGTCCAACTCCTATCTGAGAGAGCTGGACCTGAGTGGCAACGCTCTGAAGGATTCAGATGTGAAGCTGCTGAGAGATCTTCTGGAGAGTCCAGACTGCAGACTGAAGACTCTCGGGTCAGTAAGGGGTCGACTCTCTGCTGGTTCAGCAGGATTGTATTAAACACAGGGAGGTGGATGTGTTCCTCACACTGGGGAATCTCTCCAGTTCCACCTTCCAGGCGTAGCCTAGCTTAGCACAACAAATCAGTGATGTTACCATTTATCTGCAGTTTCTCCTTTTGTTCATCTCGCGGTTCTTTACTTTCATTATTATCAAGCAAGATAATACAAGCTGACAATGCAAAGCCACATTTCAGACAGCTGCAACTCATTAACAGACAAATGGCGTTTTACATATAAAAAGGTAGTCTGTTTGTTTTTCCTATGTAGTTGTTTTGTTCCTGGACTAATGCCTAGTTCATTCTCTCATGCAGCTGAGAGCTGTGGACAGTCAGTCGTAGTGTTTGCAGAGAAGATATGATGTGATGTAAAGCATTGGATCACTCAGGACTGTGAAGCTGACTAACTCAAAGAACAAACACTTATTTTAACTTGATCTATAACTGTTGGATTGTGTTCATCTCTGCAGGATCAGAGGCGAGATGATGAAAGCCAAGATACAGAAGAAATGTGAGTATTGAACCCATATCCTCCAAATATATCCAAACTCTCGTACATGCAATCAAATCATAGGTAATATATGTATGTATCACTTGATGAAATCTGTGCCTCCCATTTATGTCTAGCATAGAGTGGCTAACAGGCGCTAACCTGCTGCAACGGCCCAAAACACTTACATTAGGAGAAAGGCGCTGAAGCTTCAAATACAATGCAATATAAAAACACAAATGTTCCAAAACACATGCAAATGAAGATACATCTTCACCAACTTGACAACACAAGCACAGCATTTAGAACATATTTACCAACTTGAGGAAACATGCGCAGCGTTTACTAAAAGCCCTACATTAATGAAACGCTGTAAAAAGCAAACGCTGCAAGAAGCTTAAAACAAAACTGAAACGTGGACACTAAAAAGTGTAGATATTATAAAGATATAGAACAGTATAATGACAGTTTGTCAACATTATAAAGTTGGCAAACTGTCTCTGTTGGTGGCAGAGTCTGTTTCATATTGTTAAGTGTTTTGTCAGTATATCTGAAAGGACAAGGTTAGCTAGCTAGCTTACAGCAGATCTGCAATAATACCTGAAGGAATCATGCGATCACATTGTTCAAATAAACCGATAAAACTCACATTCTTTGTTTACAGGGACAGTTTAACAGATTTAAACGTTTTGCTCAAGAACTGCGTTTAGGTCTGATACAAACAAAGGATGCGTAGAATATCCCTTGAAAAGTGAAATTAAATATAGTGATTGAATCGAATCTGTGTAAATACCAATAGACCAATCAACTTTCTCTTTCAAAGTCAACTTTAATGTCAATGTTTCTGTGTGTTTGTACAGACAGAGAGATCGAAATAACGTTTCCAACAATCCCGTAGCTCCAATAGCTCCAGCCCCCACCCTCCCTGTGAGCACAGTGTGCTCTGATTGGTCGGGACGTTGTGAATCGCGCTGAGCTCCGTGGAGGTGTTGTTTCCTTGTTTAGGATACATAGTGAAACACAGCCAAACTCATCCTGAGCACACACAAAGTCACATCCGAAGTAAAAACAATAAGTTTGGCTTGATATTGAGTAAGAAAAAGGTTGATAAACGCTGTGAGAATGGGTCTGCAGAGAGAATTTTGCGTTTTGGGGAGGTATTTTATGTGTTAGAGTTTTACTCGCTATAGGGTGTACTTTGAGGGTTTTGACTCTGCACACCGTTTACATGCATACAAACCTTCATAACACACAAGGGGACGGGTAATAACCGGAAAAGCATGACACCTCTCCTTTAAAATAACACTGCAGCTGAGGCACCAGTTATTGAATCTTACGAACTGATACAAGTTCAGACAAGAATCTCAGTTTGTGCATTTATTTTCATGGTCCAATGTCATTAACAAAAGTACAATGAACAGCTTTCCTATCGATTCCTTTCCTTCAGCCCTTTTTTATGGCTTTCCTTGTGGCTTGTATCACCCTGGTAAAAAATGAGGGTTGCAGTCGAATTGTCCAAAAATCAGCTCTATTCTATTCTACTATTCCTTGACCTCTGTGTCTAACGTCACAGGGTCAAGGAATAGTGGATAGGAGAATTCAAAAGGACTTAGGAGAAGAGACTGCGGTGCTTTGAGAATCCGACTGCACTTACACTATCAACGTATTTATGATGCGCCAGCGGACGTCATAAATGTACGTCTGCTGCTGTGGGGAAACTACAGTTTTCTATACAGCGGACTACATGGATGTTTAATAAGAACGACGGACTACTGTAAACGCATCTAGATACTTTGCACCGTGCTCTGATGCTGTTGTTTTATGCTTTATGAACGTGGACAACAGAGAAACATATTCTTCATGACCAAGGTTGGAATTGAAATTAAAAAGTGAAGTGAAACTTATGCTCGTCACCAGGGGCGGACTGGCCATCTGTATAATCTGGAGAACCACAGAACGGCCGGTCGTCAAGGGCCATTGACGGCCGGCCAGCCCTTTAAAAATAAATTGTTTAACGTCATCATTTAAGTTGCGCTGACGGCCGACAGAGGGCGACAGCGGCCGCTAATGCAGTTGTGTGGTTCTTATCTGTCAAATAATCACACACGAAGAAGAAAACAGACCGGCCACACAAAGAAAAGGGATTAGACAGCAGACAGGGAGAATGAAAAAACATGGATTAAAATCAAAGAAAACGAAAATAAAAAGGCGGGGCCGAGAAGGCAAGAGAAAAAAAGGTGAAGTCACTCGCAGGTGAAGCGTAGCAAATAGACAGACCTTTTTGGCAGCAGCGCTGCTACAAGCACTATCAGCAGCAGCTTAGAACAAGTGCAATATGATGAAGAGAATGATGAGGGTGCGAGTTCAGATATACAGCCAGCCTCCTGCGTTCATGATGAGGGACAGAGCTCTGTAGGGCAAGAGCAAGAGGTGGGTGAGAATTATCCCTTGAACTGCATAAATGCAGCCTAATAAACAGCTGATTTCTAATAACTAATAACAAATAATAGGCTACTGTATGTTTGTGTGTGTGTTTACTGTTTTACGATGTCCCATGTGTTTAAGACATCCGAGGAGTGTCCTCCCTCTTCAGCCTAATAAACAGCGGATTTCTAACATTTGTCATTTCATGTGGCCGGACTGGGTCAGTTTCCAGGGCTGAATTTTAGTCCCAGTCCGCCCCTGATCGTCACCCTCCGGTCCAAACATATTAATCCACATGAATCCCAATACGTATGATGATTGTATGAAAAGATATTAAAATAAATACAATGTATTTACTATAAACGTGTTATTCCTTCACATCTACCCCACACAGCTCAGTAAACACTATGAAATGTTGACTTTATTTGATCATTTCAGTAAAAAAGTAGCGTTCATATTTCTCCTTTTGATTATCATAGTGATGAACGTTCAAAACAAAGCCCTTTGGCAAGTTACCACATAAGTTGTGAAATGCTTAATAAGCACCGTAACTTTCATGATATCATTTCTCCGTCACCATCGGTTGTTTCTGTGAATGGCCGAATGTTGAGTCACCGTAAATGTTGCGGCCGCTAGCACAGCATGTTCTCCTTTCCTTTCGTAAAGGAAGGTCCAGTTTTTCCTAAGTTAAAGGAGGTTATAAAGGATGTTTCAAACCTCCTTTCCTTTCATCTAGAGAATCCCAACAGCTCCTATCATGGTGTCCACTGAGGTTCTTCCGGGTCATTTCACTCCGTTAGGAAGGTTCCTAAACTAAACTGACAATTGGACTGCAGCCCATGTGCCTACTAGTGCTCTACTCCCTCCACTGCCTGTCTCCAATATATACAATTACACCCAGTGCCCAACCATGCCTTCAAAATGCCTTTAACTCACTTCAATAACGAGACTAAATAATAATACCTTCAATATACACAAAAACAGCAAGAAAATAAATGTTTAACTATTAAATAATATAAAGCTCAAAGAGTGTCTTTAAACAGGCGGTTCTAACGAGTGGCTACATTCATAATAACGTCATCACGCTGATCACGGAGAAACTCATCTCCTCATTGGCTGTGATGTTAAACCATGTGACTGTGATGTAGGTCCTTTATAGCCTAATGCTAGCTTTTCACTTGTGTGAACGAACAGGTATTGGATGTGCACAACTAAAAAATAATGTTTAAAAACCATAGGGTAATCGTTTTTTGACATTTGAATAAGGAAATGTTACATATTATATATTTAAAATAAATAAACCCACCACTGGGAAAGTTGAGGAATATAAATATCTCTCTAAACATCACATTGAACTTTTGTGTAACTTATTAGTAATCTTTTAAGAGATCTCTGTTTACAGTGATTGTTGGTTATATAACAAGAGTATTGTCCCTGTTTATCTTCCAGGTCCATGAGGGAATATCGTCATCTCAACAAATGGCAGTGCGTTCAGCCCCGTAATCCTGCATGAGGTTCAATTTCTGTCCCTCAAATCTTTGGAAACAGTCAGAAGAACGGCTACGGAGAACATGAAGAACAGTTTTCAACTAGAGATTGCAATTCCTGAAGAAATTGCTAGTGGGAATGCTTTATGCTGAAATGTAATGTGTAAGAAGAAAGTGAAGAATTTAGATTGAAATGATACATGAACACTGGGGGCTTGAATGTGTGATGAGAGAAGAAAAGAGAGTATCATCGTGTTCCATTACACAGGTGTTTATAGTTGAGCTAACGAGCTATGAAGAGATCAAAGGTTTGCATTGTTCTGAATGACAGATAAACCTCTTACATGTGAACGTTTTGTGGAAGAACGATAACAGATATCTGAAATTTCAAAACGTGAAGCATGTCAAGGAAGTTGAGTATCTGAAGTGTAATTTTTGTGTACTTTCGGGTTAATAATGTGGCCTTTTTGGCAGTTTAACTAAAGGTGTGCGGCTGCTGCTGTGAGGAAATATCAGCCTGAAATTACAATGGGTTTTAATGGAGACATGTTGAACGTTTTTGTCACTTCATGCCCTCAAGAGGCATTTTGTTTAATTATTTTTGCTTAATTATTTGTCATTTTTCAAGCTACAAGATGTTTTCCTATGTTTGTCATGAAAAACTATGTCTCAGGAATGTAGGGTTTGGGAATTATGGCAGTTTTAAAAATAAATATGAAGGCAAATTTCAAGATTTCCTACCCTCTAGCTGTGACATCACGCACTCTAACTTAACGAGCTGCGCAATGTTAAAGTTAAAATGTAAAAAATGTGATGCATTATGGGATGTATCTCTGGAATTATGAAAGTTATGAATGATAAAAGTAATAGCGCTCGATTCCCGACCGAGCTGAACGGAGTTTCTGCGATGTTGAATGTGGGAGGAGAAGACGGACAAAATAATTGGATGGAATGATAAGAATTTTGTCCGTAGCATAACATTTAGTTGGAATGCTGTATCAGCATTCCCACTAAATTATAACATTTTTGCGTTAATCACCCCGACTCAATTAATCCCACGTGACTATTTTTCACTCATGTTCCCGGTAATAACACGTTTTCTTCATAAACCTAGTCTAAATAAACTTAGATTTTTGATGAACTCATTTTAGTTCCGGCTCTTTTTGGTGTGAACGCGACATTTCGGAACTATATCGGAATTAAAGTGGGAAAAGTACTGCGGTGTGAACGTGCCTTATAATAACAGTACAACATTTAAAAATATTCACGTCAAATGTAATTATAAAAAGAAGTAAATTATGACTAAATACTCAGAAAAATGTAATTCAATATGTGCAGTAATTGAATGTGAAGTTGAGAGCTGTGTAGAGTAAAGGGATGTGAGAGTCTACAGCAGAGGCGCCCAGTACGTCGACCGCAGGGGCAATGCTTGTAGATCGCGAGTCATTCATAAAAATAAAAAATCCAGCTCCGTTAAAATAGACAAAACAGGTTTTGATCCCTCCTCCCTTGGCCTCCCTGCCACTTAATTCAGGAGTTTACTTGATTGACAGAAAATGTTAGCCATTTTAAACCATTTTAGTTTTATGTATTCATGTATTTGTTTCTGTTCAAGAACCCAAATAGAGTTGTTGTACTGTAGTTATCCCATGTATAAATAAAACGTGTTATTCAGCCTCTTGCAATTTGGGATTTTATTTTTGGTTGGTAGACATCGGTGAGCTGGTCATTTCAAAAGTAGCTCACCGGCCAAAAAAGTGTGGGCACCCCTGGTCTACAGTATTAAAATGAACAGGATGCATTAATGTTATACATAGTGTCTATAGAGAGTGTGTCAGTGGGGGAAACGTGACTAATGGAAGTGTTTCGGGCCGTTCTAGCGCGTGTGCACCTCTCGGCCACCGTACATAATATTAACATCTCTAGCAAATGATTTGAGGTAAACGGATAAGATAACTCTCAGACAGTTTTCATCATCCACAAAGCTCTGTTTCTCGATGCATCATCATACCTGTCTATATGTCACAGAATATGGATAATTGCCAAACAACAATATTCCCCTGATTCACTCTTGATTTTTTTTTGCATCACATGAAGATCATTACTCATTATCGATGGAGGGGAAACACAGATGGTGAAGCTCGAGGCGTGAGATCGAAGGCTGTGCTCTTGTTGGGGTTAGAGTGATTTATACCCCGTCTGTATTTATATACCGTATGTGTGTGTGTGAGTGTGTGTGAGTGTGTGTGTGTGTGTGTGTGTGTGTGTGTGTTTCCTCTACACCTCGTTGAGGAATGAAAGGCTCCGGATGTCATCAGTTCCCATATTGATTTTCCTGCTCACATGCTTAATTGAAGTTGTTGGGCTATACATAATTGAAGTTGGTTCTCTCAATCTCTCTCCCTCTTCATTTTTTTCCCCCTCACACATTAAAAAGAGAAAAGTCATACCTCTTCCTGCTCTCCACTCTTTTCTCATTTCTTTTCAAGAGACAAGTGTTAATGGGGAAGCCTGTGGCTATGTACTTTTGATAGAGTGGTAGGGTGTGTGTGTGTGTGTGTGTGTGTGTGTTTCCATTCGGTGTGAACATGTACGAGTGTGTGCAGCTTATAAGTGAAAAAGAAGCCTGTGGGAGGAGGTAAAAAACTCAAGAAAGACTTTGTGATAACAGACATATCACTGATTGCCTTTGACTACTGTTTCCTAGTCTCCTCTCCAGTGTCTTCACATTATGAAAATACATTGAAATGATAAATAAAGTTGGAAGAGTCCGAGCTGAGAGCGGAGAAGAGAAGAATCCTGGATAAGCACGGCTTTGGTTGGAGAACACCCCGCAGTAATACATTGATGCATTTTAATATTTCATTCTTGTGCATGAAGAATCACACGTGTTTGCTCAGTTCAGAAAAAGACAGCATTATTAAATGAGCAGTCACTTCTATAATTAAACCGAAGAAAGCGAGGAATGAATCTCTCAGGATCGAAGTAACGCCTTGTTTAATACAGATCATCAGTTAGAGGGAAGTCAGAGGCACGACTTCTCTGTAACAGGAAGCTGAAACGGGATCCGTCCAAAGTGAAAAGACTTATGACGTTGCATTTTATATGTTGGAGTTGTTTCTCTTCTTCCTCAGATCTTCTTTCTTTGGGGTAATCTTCCTCCTCATCTTTACAGACCTGTTCAACTTTGATCTCTCCCCGTGAGATGTTACCTCCTTCCTCATATTCAACAAAGATGTATTTCCTTCTATGCAGATCTTCTTTCTCCTTTTAATAGCCCTACTTCTTTACTCAAAGATCCCCCTCTCCTTCTCCCTGCTTTAGTGTTGCACAGAACCGGTTAAAGTCCTCTCAGACCAGATGTTAAAACAGAGACAAACACCAGGAGAGATACAAAAGACAGCTAACAAGCTAACTGTACCTCATGAAACTGTCTTCAAGAAAAATGGTCTTTCTCCAGAAGTGAAGAGATGGAAGAAGGTTAGAACCAAGTTGAAATCCTATAATGTCTTTAGTCCTCTCAAATACAGCCTTCAAAAACATCTTAAAATGTCAAAAAAAAACGTTGATAAGTGATGAGTCTTTGATCATTTTAACCAAAACCGCAATCAGTCTTTTTTTTACGTTTGGTATACTTATCAGGTTTCTGAACAATCACAGCAGACCTCACTGAGGCTGGAGCCACACGAGAACGGTAACGGTCGTATCCGCTACAGTTCTCTAGCATATAGACGGTTCGGCCATGCGAGGCTGACAGGGAAACGCAGATAACGATAACGGGTCCCAAGGTGGGTAGATCTGCGGACGCAACGCTCTGGGGGGCCAAACGGCTCCGTCTCTACGCCCTATACGATCATTTTCTGATAACGATGACGCAATAGCCCTGCCTCTCCCCACCTCTCCTGCTCACCCCCGTGTCACCCGCGTTATTGCTGATGTGTTTCGCCAACAACAACAACAAGTCCCGGTATCTCACAGGACAGTGCACCCAGCAGGTGCCTCCAGCAGGTGCACCCAGCAGGTGCCTCCAGCAGACCCCCTCCACACGGCAGAGTTTCCGGCATATGTACTACAGCGTCTCCAGCGGGGCGATCGGTCTCGTGTGGAAGGACACGTTTCTGGTGCCTATTGCGTGTGGACGGAAGACTTTTTTGATATCGAATTCGTTTCGTTTGCGTTATCGTGTGGCTCCAGCCTAAAATGAAAGTAATACCATTTCCTATAAATGAAATGATTGTGAGATGGTACATGTACCACACATATGCATCCACTTCATCATCCATGTTCAGTGTCTTGCTCATGAGGAACGAGGATCAAACCATTAACTCGGGGACTAATGGACGACCCCGTCTACTTGTACCAGAACTGCATAAATCTATAAATGTCTTCAGCCCTCAAAAGTGCGGAAACATCTTTAAATGTCAAAAAGACCGCCTGAGTTAATGTGTCTTTGATAATTACTCTACCGTTCACACAGCACCCTTAAGCGAGTAGAGATCAATTGTGTTGTCATGATTGAGTGAGGTCTGAATCCTCTCTGTTTCGTCCTGCCGGGTGAGAGTGTGCTCAGGACCAGATTAATTGCTCCGAGTGTTAATTTGCTGCCCGCCCCTGGACGCCACGTGTCTCCATTGATTAAACTTAGCCTGTGTCTTGTTGCTCTCTTTGTTCATTTAACAGGGTAATTGATGGGGCTGGTTGTCTGGTCCTCTGTCCTCCATTCTCTCTCATCTTTCCCTTTCTGGTTTTTTTCCCCTACTCTTTCCCTCCCTCCTAAACACCCCTGTTTGCCAGTGGCCTAGCTCTTAAATCACGCTGTTTGCAAGCTGTCTCCTCAGGCAAGTGTGTGTGTGCGTGTGTGTGTGTGTGTGTGTGTGTGTGTGTGTGTGTGTGTGTGTGTGTGTGTGTGTGTGTGTGTGTGTGTGTGTGTGTGTGTGTGTACTCTCTCGACACACACAGTTCGTAGTACCCATTTCACTCGCTAACAATACTGCCTGCCAGTATTTGGTTGGGTTTATTAATCCTGACCGTTATATAGGTCAATATTAGATGTGACAAATAGGAGGGTAATAAGGTGCTGGTGTATCCCTGCAGTGCTCAGG